CAAGGGATCATAGTTGATAGCACCTCACCATTCAATAGTCCCCTGTGGGCGGTGAAGAAGAAGGCAGCACCGGGGGATAATAAGGAAAAATACAGGGTGGTAGTAGACTATCGTAAATTGAACGATAACACGGTAGACGAGAAGTACCCGATCCCCAGATTCGAAGATATACTGGATAGGTTGAGTGGAGCCGTGGTCTTTAGCACGTTGGACCTTAAGGCGGGATATCACCAAATACGGATGCACCCGGAAGACCAACACAAAACAGCGTTCACATTCGAAAGGGGGCATTATGAATTCACAAGAATGCCGTTTGGTCTGAAGAATGCGCCCATAACATTTCAGCGTCTGATGGACGAATTTTTGAGGGGTATCGATGACTCGGTATGTCAGGTATATATGGATGACCTGCTGATTTTTAGCAGAACGGAAACCGAACACGTGGGACATCTGAGGTCAGTATTCGAGAGGCTCCGGAAATTCGGGCTGAAATTGTCAAGCGAGAAGTCTCTGCTGGGACAAACGCGGATTAATTTTTTAGGCCACACTATCTCTAGCGAGGGGGTCAGACCGGATGCGGCAAAGGTGGAGGCGATCACAAGGATGGCGGTACCACGGGACGTGAAGGGGATCCGTAGGCTTCTTGGGACGCTGAACTACTACCGGAGATTCGTACCTGAGATGGCAGAGTATTTGGTACCCATTAACAATTTGCTGAAGAAAGGCGCGAAGATTGTGGTGACACCAGAGATGGAGAATAATATCCGAAAATGTATGAATAGGTTGCTGACAGAGCCGGTGTTAGCGTTCCCGGATTTTGAGAAGCTCTTTAATATAACCACCGATGCGAGCGAATACGCGTTAGGGGCCGTTTTGTCCCAGGGGGGGAGTGAGGGTGAACGACCGATAGCATACGCGAGCCGTCGGCTTACGGGTGCGGAATCGCGATACAGCGCTTTGGAGAGGGAGCTACTCGCGATAGTGTGGGCTATCGACCATTTCAGGCCATACGTATTTGGGAGGAAGTTTCGAGTCCACACCGACCACAAACCCCTGCAGTGGGTAGGGAAACTTAAAGAAACCTCAGCTAGGGTCACGCGATGGAAGGAAGTCCTTAGTCAATACAATATAGAGGTGGTGTATAAGCCGGGAAAGGAGAACGTGGTGGCGGACTGGCTCTCGAGGGCCATCATGATCAACGCGGTAGAAGAGGACGGGGGAGGACCATCGCGAGACGTGCGCCAATTCTTGAGTGAATGGACTCCCGACGGCGAAGGAGCGGAGGATATCGTCGGTATAGATGACAGGGGAGAGTCCCCGGAAGAGGAGAGCTCAGCGGAGGAAAGAGCAGTGGAAATGGAGGAGATAGACGACATCATCAATGACAAGCATCGTCAGGTAATCTGGAAAACGAGAGTAGCAGGGATGATGAAAATAGATTATCGAAGATATGGGAAAAGCAAGATTCGCGTCATCTGGTCGCAACCCGGGGTGAGTGAAGAGCAAATTTGTACGGCACTGAAGGACGCCACGGAACCTGGAAAGACGCACCATCTTTTGGGGAATAACACGGTATGGGATAAAATAAAGCGGATGTGGAGATCCGAGCGAATTGGTGTGGACAGAACACTCATCCGTTGTAAGTACGCAGTGGAAACTATACAGGATGAGGAACAGCAACAGGCAGTCACATTAGCTTATCACCAGGGGAAAACCAACCACCGAGGCGTGAACGAGACACTGCAGGCATTACGTCGAAAGTATTTCTGGTGGGGCATGAAAAAATCCATCCAAGAGGTCATAGGGAAATGCGAGGTGTGTATGCGCACGAAATATGATCGACACCCCCCCAGAGGGATTCAGGAAGAGACACCGACGGGGAATATGCCACTACAGGACCTCCAGATTGATACATTTACCTGGAGAGGGTTCAAGTGGGTCACGGTCATCGACGTCTTTAGCAAGGTAGCTATGGCACACCAGGTCATGGACAAGTCTGCCAACGCAGTTGCGGAAGCCCTACAAACCTGGGTGCAGTTCTACGGGGTCCCCGAGAGGATCACATCGGACGGTGGTAGGGAGTTTGACAATGCCGCGATTAGGGAGGAGGTGAAACGACTAGGGATTCGTTGGCATTATAACACCCCGGGACATCCTAAGGGTAGAGGCGGCATTGAGCGGTTGCACAGCACGCTGAGTGATCACATCCGGGTGTATCAGGGGGAAAAAGGGTTGGAGCCGGATGTTGCAATGAAGAAAGCGGTAACAGCCTACAACCACTCGATTCACTCCGTCACGGGATTTTCGCCCGTGGAAGTACTATTCGGGATGCGCAGGCCAAGGCGAGATTGCGGGGAAACAACGGTTAATGAACCATTAGTCGAGCAAATCCAGAGCAATAGGGTGGAGGGAAAAGACGTGGGGAAGAGTAACGGCGAAAAGCGGGAAAAGCGGGTAGAGAGGCAGAATGTTCGCGTACGTGACCAAATGGGTGATCTAAAGATCGGGACAATAGTGTACCGTAGAGTAGGACCAACAGAGGGAAACAATTGTTACGATACGAGGGTCCATTCAGAGTGATTGCTATTAGGGAGCATAATCTACTAACGATCGAAAGCGTTAATGAACCTAGAAAGAGGAGAACGGTTCACATTGAACAATTGAAGCTCCCAATGATAGAACCGGAACATAAACTAACGGATTCGTAGTACCCTCACCACGTTTAACAAATATGTTTTTTTTTGGTTGTCTAAGCAAAAATATGGTGTATTTTTTTTTATGTGTAAATAGAATCATAGCAATACAGTAGAGGAAAGTGTATTATTTTTTTTTTTCTCTTTTTTTTTTAGGATTTTAAGAGTTCTGTTTTTGGAAGCAAGTGTTGTGTTTAGTTCTGTTTTTTTTATTTCTTTGTATTATTGTATGTCTCGAGTGAGTTTTACTTTCTTTCAACTTTATACTTGTAAAAACAATTGTAAGGTGTTAAGACTGATAATCGTTAGCTCCGATCTAGGAATATCTAAGTTTCCGAAAAATCCTATTCGTAAACTGGTGGGGGGGAGATAAAGACCGGAGACCGGCGATATCAGCCTTAATACCGTCCTGAATGTAAATAAACATATGAAATGTATATAAGGAGGATTACTAAAGGAATAAATCAGTATCTTTTCTGAAACCGTGAGTGTTGCATTTCAAGCCCTTTCCTTTCTTTTTTTTTATTGTTAGAGTCCGCCGACGCTTAACTTATATATATATATATATATAATTATATATAATTATATATTTTTATATATATATAATGAATCATCTAAGAAACCAACCTGGACTATCCGTCCAGGTTGGTTTCTTAGATGTTTCATTCATTTGTTCCCACGAGTATGGGGGTGGTTAAAAGATCACTACAGGTATTACCCCCTCTCCCTGCAGAAGGCTAATTACAATGGGGTGCCCCAAGTGGATTGAATTGACAGTATATATTTATTTAAGACACCCTCTGCCACCTAGCACCCTCCACCTAGCTTGGGTGTCATAGAAGGATCCACACAATGGTCCTCTAAATTAGAGGGCAGAAGTGTGGATCCCTGCCTCTGTCACTCGCGAGTTCCATCGGACCCCCGGGGAGCACCATGAGAAGTTGACAGTAGGCGTTGATAGGAATAGGGACGACTGGGAAGTCACAAGCAGTGGGTAGGGCACTATTGTTTGATCATTCCGCAAGGAGTGGGGGAGATTATCGCACTCATCTCCCTCTCCAGCCCTATTGTTACCCTACCCCCCAAAAAATCTATTTCTTATTATAATTATTAGGTTTAAGCATTTCAGATTTTGTAATAGATTTTAATCTTTATGAATTATTAAAATTATATATATATATATATATATATATATATATATATATATATATATAATGTCTCCTCTTGTGTGTTATAATTATTTTATTTTTGTTTTTTATAGTGTTGGATCAGTTGTGTAATGAAGAAAATGGGAATGATAAAAAATTAATTTTTAAAAATCTATTTCTTGCAAAAAAACTTTATAACGTATCTTTGTAAATAATAGCTTTTCATATTTTAATCTTCTGTTTTATAGATAAATGAAGGTAAAATTGACTGGGAGCAATGTAAAATACTTACTAAGCAAGGACTAACTGGAGAGGAAGATAAAGCCAAGGTCGATAAGATTGCTGAGATATGCCAATCTAATTGTAAGAACCATAATTAATAAAAGTGAAATGCAATTTGATTATACCAACTTAATAGAAATACTTTGCATTGTAAATGAGGATGCATAAAAATGAAAAATTTTTTATAATGGTCCTGATGGATGTTACTGCTAATATTTATTTGTATTATGACATTTTATTAGTATAAATGCTAGTATATTTAAAGCTTCCCATGTCGTTTTATTATAATAACTTTTCTATTTGACAGTTCCTTTGAAAACATTAGGATTAATTGTACTTAAAAACTGGATTTACATTAAAAATTAACTTTATTTTTCAGCTTGGTCTTCCCAAACATGTAATATTAATCAATTAGAATATTATGTAACTTCCACAGTTCTCTATCTTTTTGTATCTTGTCCATTCTAGCCCTGAAGAAGACCTGCTAAGTTGGATCGAAACGTTGGCTTTTAATAAAATATTTTTGCCACTATTTAGCCTATTTATGACCGTCACTCTGGACCATCTCCTTCCTTTATAATGCAACGGTTAACTATTAAATATTCAATTAAAAAATTATGATTTGCAATATTTTTTAACCATTAATAAGAATTTATTATTCTCATGTGCTGTTAAATATAGTATTGTTGGATAAAATTGGTTTACACTCATTTTCTTTGTTGTTTCTTATGTAAATAATGAGCCTATTCATAAGGTTGTTTTGAATAATTAGAAGTGATGTCATCTGTGGGCTTGGGTGGGGTGAAGCTATGTAAACAATGGAACGCCATCTTACACTACTGGAAGCTTAGGAAGGAGATCTTTCTTATAGAGCAAGATGAAGACTTATGTATCTATTCTGATTAAAACTATCATCATTGTTGACTTTCTTGGCCAGATCAGAGTAAGAAATATTTTAATTATTTAATGTTTTTAGTTTTTGTAAGTTCATAAATGGTGCAATAAAAACTGGCTAAAGAATTCCAATGTTGTGGTTGATGTTTTCAATGTTGAGAAGCTGAATATATGCCATATATTTTTTTTTCTTATTAAGGGTTCAATAAAGTGTAACACTTAGTTATCAAATGAAGAATTCATAAGCATAGAGATGAATAACAAACCCGTTGCCTATATTACAGTAAATGATTGACAAATACCCTTTAAATTTGGTTTATCTAATTGTTATGTGATGGAAAAAGTAATTTTATTTGTAAAGAGCATTCTTAAAAATAAAAGAAAAAATAAAAGGTTATATCTTTTTCGTTACATCAAAAGACCTGGCGATTTATTCCATTAACAATATATAATTTTACATTGCAAAGTGTGTACTAATTTTCTTTTTGTTATCTAGTGCTATGAAGAAGATGAAGCACTGAAACAAGTGTTTGGTCAATGTTTTAAGAAACACCAATTAAGTCTGGGTATAAATTTCTGTTAATTACTTTAATTATTTATTGAATTTTCACAATGAAAAGGAAAGCTTTAAAATTGTCAAATTCATTTTATTTCCTTTTTTTTTTTGTTGCAGAAGCTATTATTAGTATTGTGAGGCATGTGCATGTTCCTGATGATTATGAAGTTAAGGTGCGACTTACAATTTAGTACCAATGTTCAGATAGGCTATTTCCCACATTTTCACTTCTCATTTTCTAACTAATGGTCTGATTGATTGAACTATTGTTATGACATCTTCAATAAATGTTTAATGATAACTACTGATAGATCATATATATATATATATTATATATATATAGAGAGAGAGAGAGAGAGAGAGAGAGAATCTATGAATGATTTCAAAGAATTATTGACTATTGATCATTGGCTTTATTCGAATATGTCCTGCATTTCCCTTTTCAGATACCCCATACCGAGAACGAGAAAATATAATTCTTATTATAATTATTATGTTTAAGGCTTTTTTAAGTAGTTAAAATGTTGTAATAGTTTTCAATCTTTATGAATTATTGCAATTATATATATATATATAAATATATGGGTGGGAACCCCAGACCCTTCATGGGTTGTAGTGGTACAGATTTATATATATATATATATATATATATTATGTCTCCTCTTGAGTGTTATAATTATTTTATTTTTTATAGTGTTGGATCAGTTGTGTAATGAAGAAAATGGGAATGGTAAAAAATTAATTTTTTCAAAACTATTTCTTGCAAAACCTTTATAATTGTCATATCTTCAAGATTTGTTTTTCGGATGTACGTATCTTTGCAAATAATAGCTTTTCATATTTTAATCTTCTGTTTTATAGATAAATGAAGGTAAAATTGACTGGGAGCAATGTAAAATACTTACTAAGCAAGGACTAACTGGAGAGGAAGATAAAGCCAAGGTCGATAAGATTGCTGAGATATGCCAATCTAAATGTAAAATGCAATTTGACTATACCAACTTAATAGAAATATTTTGCATTGTATATGAGGATGCATAAAAATGAAATAATTTTTTTTTAATGGTCCTGATGGATGTTACTGCTAATGTTTATTTGTATATATGGCATTTTATTAGTATAAATGCTAGTATATTTAAAGCTTCCCATGTCGTTTTATTAATATAACTTTTCTATTTGACAGTTCCTCAAGAGGAAAAAGACGAGTGTCAGCTTGCATATTCTGCAGCACTTTGCAAGGTCGAGAGCTGGAAGGAGGTAACCAAAAAGTAAAATAATACAGGATCCATAATACCTTAAAAACTGGATTTACATTAAAAATTAACTTTATTTTTCAGCTTGGTTTTAACAGACGTATAATATTAACCCAATTAGACTTCTTTGCTGTTACTTGTTCGAAGCTATTGGTCGACGGGCCAGACACAGAAAATTCGATATTCATGACATAATAGTTTATAACATAAAATTTTATGTCATTAAATAAATTGCACTATATTACCAGTTTAGTTTAATACTATCCTTCTATTTCTATAAAAATAATAAAGAATAATGTGTTGGTGGAATCTATTGCACAACCAGGTGAAAATAAAAGAACTCTTATTATAAAACACGCAAGTTACAGGGGTAAGATTGAAGGAGAAGATATAAAGACTGAGTCTTTTCCCAAATTTCTGTTAGTTCCATATTCAACCCCTCTCCACTGACTGAAAGGGTAATTCCTATCAGTATGGGGTACACCTCTCACTTTCAACCTCTCTTCTTTCTTATGAGCGAGATATGACCCTTGTCCCTCTTTCTTTCCTATCTTTTCATATAATAATTTTAGCTGGTAGGGAGCTAGAGCCCCTCCGAAAGAAAACCGACACTCCCTTGTTAATGTGGACTATGGCTACTTTTAACATCTATTTCAGGCGAGACAATAGCCGATTTATGTTTTCTTGTGATTTTATAGCATTTCCACTGATTTAATTATTAACGAGTGTATTAGTATTGTAATTCATCAATCAGAATTGTTGACTTGATGATGAACTGAAATGAAAAAATCTTGAAAAGGAGAATGAGTATATATTGATCAAATTATCTTAAAACCTATACCGTAAGATGGGTTAGCTTTTGGGCAGCAAGTAAAATTTAGTTTGTGGTGATTCCTTGGTGGATATACTCTGTTGGTTCAGTCTGAAAAAATATGCTTTATGTAGGCAGGTACTGCACTACTAACTTGCGGCAGTTTGAGAACCCTAGTTCACTACACTCGATGTGCAGTTAGGTTTTATTTGTTGCCATTGCTTTTTCAAAATCCTTGTTTTCATTAAACTTTCCCTTTTGCCTGAAGAACTGCTAACATCATATCACCGCAGTACTAATATCGGCCATGAAGAAATCGGCTTCTAATTGGAAATGGCCTTCAACGCCTGATGAAATTCATTACTCAAAGGACTAATTGGCTGGAGAGAAATTTTCAGTGTGAAACAGCTGCAAGTTTACAGCGATCTCTTGGCTTGTATATATATAAAAAAATTTAGTTATAATTGAATATAAAAATATATTTAAAAAAAATAGATGTATTGAAAATTCCTACGTCGAAAGTAGGAAATACATGTACTATCTCTTACAAAGTATTATCGTAAGATTATATGATTGCTACGCAATACATATATAATGTTGATAGTTAGTAGGTATCCGACTGTTTTTGGAACAGGAAGTTTTTGAGTGTGGATATGGAGGGGGCATGCTGAATTTCGATTGGGAGGGAATTCCAAAAGTTGACAGAACGAGCTATTAAGGAGTTTTGGGATGAGGCAGATCTATGAGAAGGGATGTGTAGGTCAGAAGGTCGAGATCTTGTGGTGAGGGAATGCATTAAGGACTTAAATTGGAGAAGGTTGTAGGTATATGAAGGACAATGATCGTTAATGATTTGATAAAGGAATGTGCCTAGGAAATATTGTCTTCTTAAGGAGGGGAAGAACCACCTTAATTCAGTGTAGTGGTGGGAGACACGGGAGCGTCTCGGGGTCTCTCATCCAACACCTTTTTAGGCTCCTCCTCATAATTAGAGATATGTCAGCTTTGGCCATGTCTCTTATTAATCTGTTGTTATGCCCATTAAAATTTGTATAAATCGTTGGTAAAGTGTCGTTATATGTTGTCAACTGTTGGAGGTCAATATGTAGAGTTTTGTTAGTCACGTACCAAGGTGGTTTTATCTTAAGAGTCACAATATTTTTGAAGGATTGAAGATTTGAAAATTTTGTAGGTGGGTCTTTTTAGTGTTAATAATATTTAAAATAAAAACAAAATCAAGCATTAGAATTAAAATGATAATTACAAATTTAGAATTGCTCTACTAATTATTTATTTATTGATCAGTTTGAGCACTTCAATACTTGTAGCGATACAAGAAGACTAATATTAAAAAAAAATAAATATATTATCCTCAATTGGACTTAAGGAAATCAATCTACATTACACAAGTTTTAATAAATTCAAGTCTAAGTCAAAATCTGGAAATTTTCAAATAAGTATATTTTCCTTTTTGTTGCAAATCTTATTTTATTCAAACCAAAATATTAAAATTATATCAATAAACATATCAAAAATGAATTTTATCGTAGTTTTCAACTTCGGTTTTTGTATTTTCAATTCACGATATCTAAAAACAGCAGATGGTTCTTTTCTGTTAAAGAATTAAACCCTTCTGAAACCATTTTTAACTCATTTGAATTTTTATATATACACATACGCACACACACACAATGTATATATATATTCAACTATATTATACAATTCTTCTTCTTCATCACATTTATTTATTTTTTGTAACTATTCGGCTTTAATTTGTGCTTTTATTAGACGCTGTGTAAATGTGTGGTACTATCTACTCTATTGTGAGTGTAACCTGTCCAAACAATGAATCACAAGTTCCATAAAGATGTAGTAAAGTTAGAACTAGTTTGTTTTACACAGCAGTTAAACTGCGGTGTTAAAGACTGGAGATCTTTAAAGTTGTTATCATGGTATAAACTTGATACCTAGAAAACTTTGGTTATAGAGGCAAACAGCAACTATGAATAATTAGTTCCACAATTATAACGTTTCTATTTGCATAACTTTTAATACAGTTTAGCTCATGGGTGTCCATCCCTCCCAAGGCCGATGGTGCATGCCCCTCCTCCCCCACCCAAACAAAAATATTATTGCTTCCCTCACTTAAATAATTAATACCTATCTATATGAGATTTTATATCAATGTTAGTCTAAAAGGTAGTAGATTTAATACTGGTTTGTTTCTCGAGAAAATAAAGGCAATTACAATCAACAAGTAACATCTGTAATATTTAGAGGAGGCAACGCCCCCCCCCCCTGCCCTCCTCATGCCAGGAATTCATTATTATTTTGTTTTAAAATATTTTTTCTTTTAAATGAGAATTTCATCTGAAATAATTGCGAGAGCGTTGTTAAAAGAGAGTACATTATTTTAAAATAGGGGGGGGAAATATAAATTTGAGGATGGAAAAATTAATCTTTTTTTCCTAATTATTTTTTATAATGTTGAAATGAACTGTCACTGATGATATTTCATAATTTTGCTTCCTCACTACCGAAGGTAGAGAAGCATTGTATTCGTGCGAGAGGTTAAAACATTTTTTGTGCTAAGAATGGAAAATTTCCACTCACGTTTTACGTTTCAGACGTTGAGGATCAAATTTGGTTTGGTGTCTGGCTGTCTGTCTGTCTATTTTTCTGTAGTCAAATCGATGTAACGGGCATATCACCTACTACCGTTCATCCAATTTCCGTGAAATTTTCAGAAATTGTGCGGATTGGTGTCCAGATGGTCCCATATCAATTTTATTAAATTCTAGCACTTCCGCTTACGCACGCGCAAATGAATTTTTGTAGATATGCCAATATTTCAGAAATGGCTCGTTCGATTTGGCTTAATTAACAAAAACTAAATTGTAGGAAGGGTTTGAATTACATTTGTTACATTTTCTGTTTGTTTAGTAAATTTTCAAGGTCTAATTGTTTAAAAAATTATGATTTGCAATATCTTTGAACCATTAATAAAAATTTATTGTTCTCATGTGCTGTTAAATATAGCATTGTTGGATAAAATTAGTATACACTCATTTTCTTTGTTGTTTCTTATGTTATTAATGAGCCTATACAATATTGTGGGGTAGCAATGGTACAAAATCATGTTTCCTTCCGTTTCTTATAGAGATGTTGCACTGTTCCAATTTTACCCTAATCAAGAGGATAAGAACAAATTTAAATTTTTTAAAATAAAATACTCTATTTGTTATATAATTTAGGCCATTATTCACCAAAATTTTATTAATTAGCTATTTTATTACGACGTTTAGGCCATCACTAGGGCCATTTTCAAGTCCGGAAAATTATAATGTCATTATTAGTTAACATTTAACATAAAAAAAAAATTGTTTTGCAATAGTGAATTATTTTATCTAATTTATGATTTTTATATTGATTTTAAATTAATTATTATATTATATGCAAATATTGTTAATTACATTTGCGTAAAAAGTATTTATATTGTCCACATCTGTATGGTTGTTAATGGAATTCTTTAAATTTTTAGTGATATATATTGACTCTATAATTTTTCTTTTGTTGTTACTATTTTCCTTATATATTATTTTGGCATTTTAAAAATCAAATTGGTGTTTGTTGTAAGTTGCGTGTTGTGAAAGGCCGGTTGATGTGTTTGATTTGGACTTACAATTTTGTTCATGTTGTTTTATTCTTTTTCCAAACCATTGTCCCGTTTGCCCTATATATGATTTATTAGTGCAATTTTTACAATTTATTTTGTAAATAACATTACTTTTCATGTCATGTGGTATATTATCTTTGGTATTAGTTTACATTTTTTCAATTTTATTTACTGGCTTTTCACCTAATTTAATATCCGATAGATCGTATTCCCTGAAAGTCCTTTGAATTTTACTAGTTAGATCTTTAATATAAGTTATTGAATGATATTTAATGTTACATTGTTCAATTTTATTTTCAAATTGTATGGCACTAGGTAACTTTTGAGATTGTTTTTCAAGGTTATAAGATATTTCAGAATTATTATTTTTGAAGTAATTTGTGATTAAATTCAGTTTTTTGTTTACTAATTTACTTGGGTAGTTATTTTTGTTATGGTTTGTTTTCTGCTGTTGTTATCATTATTATTATCACTCCGTTTTATTTTTTGGTTTTTGTACCATATTTTATTTATAATTCTTTTAGGGCACCAATTATCCAGTAATATATTATATATTTCAGTTTTTATTTTATTGATATGTATTTTATCCATGATCAGTTTAGCTTTTTCTATGAAGTTTTTAGCTAAATTAATTTTTTTATTTAGACAATGGTTACTGTACCAATTTAAAATTCTAGTTATGGATTTTTTGCACCAGGATGTGGTGAG